GTCTTGTATAGACAGGTGTGTGGCTTTCCTAATCACATCCAATCAGTATAATCAAACACAGTTGGACTCAAATGAAGGTGTAGAACCATCTCAGGGATGATCAGATGAAATGGACAGAGCCTAAGTTAAATATATGAGTGTCACAGCAAAGGGTCTGAATACTTATGACCATGTGATATTTCAGTTTTTCTTTTTTAATAAATCTGCAAAAATGTCAAAAATTCTGTGTTTTTCTGTCAACATGGGGTGCTGTGTGTACATTAATGAGGAAAAAAATGAACAAATGATTTTAGCATATGGCTGCAATATAACAAAGAGTGAAAAATTTAAGGGGGTCTGAATACTTTCCGCACCCACTGTAGGTGTGGCAAACCTGCTGTTACACAGTCAGGTTTGAAATGTAACATAATTGCCCCATACATAATTACTGCATACTCAATCTTCTTGTGACAGGCAAGCATGGCATTAGCTTTGTCTTCCCCATATGGGTGCCCCTCTGATGAGGAGGAAGAAATGGCTGTGTTTGAGTCTACAGCAGCAGAGCACAGAGGCCTGGCTAGACCACGTCTGCCTGAGATGTCTGTCATTTCCCCCGTCCTAGATACATGGACAACCATTACACAACCGGTGAGACTCCACAGTTGTTTGCTTTGTATGAATATCTCTGCAGTGTTCCCACTGAAACTTTCAATGTAAACAGATGAGGTTTGCTTCCATTCTAAATTTCTCACCATTTTGCTGATAAAATAACACACGTTAAATGCTTTTCTTAATTCAGACATTTCCAAAACATTTTATGAAATGTTTTGACATTTTTCCACATTGACTTGTGTACTCCTTCCACCCATTTACCTGCTTTACCAAATGGGTACATGAAAACGTGGTTATTCCTTCTACAAGTCAGACTTTTAATGGTTCCATGTCAACAACAAACCATTAAAGATGTTTTTCATTTTTGTTTCCAGACACTTGCAGTGAAATCTGGATTGGTGAGAAAAGGAAGCAATGGTGAAGGGAATAATGAGAAGGTCAAGGTTTACCTGCGCATCCGGCCTCTTTGTGAGGTGGAAAGAGAGAGAGAAGAAGAACAGGTGAAACTTTCAGTTGCAGGGTTATATGTCACATTTCAGGTATTCATACTGTATCTGCAGTTATGCTGATAGTATATAGGGTACATTAATTGCTTTTAGTACATAAGTTCACTGTGCTCACTCTTCTTTTAGGGCTGTGTTGCTGTTCAAGATGAAGAGACTCTGCTGCTCAAAGCTCCAAAGGAGTCTCAGAACATGAGGACTGCAGAGAGGGGCATCACCCAGAGCATGCACAAGTTCAGTTTCACCAAGGTATATTTGTGCATAATGTTGAGTACGGGGTGTCAACCAGAAGTCATAATGTATAAAAAATAGCCATGCTGTTGCAAAGGTGACCTAAGGGGAAACCAATAAACTGGTTGTTACTGGTGAGGAAGATACTGTTGGTAAATGTGGGCTGAAGGGTGTGAATAGCAATCAATATCAATAACAAACAAGGAGCTTGTATATTAATATATCACATACAGATAATTTTTTCCCCTCATTGCCCATTTTTCACAGATCTTTGGACCAAAGTCCACACAGCAGCAGCTGTATGAGAGCACGATGAAGGAGATGGTGAAGGATGTGCTTCAAGGAGAAAACAGACTGCTCTACACTTACGGTGTCACCAATTCTGGAAAGACTTATACCATTCAGGGTATGATTCTCTTGTTCTGGTTATACTTTGACACATCAATATAAAGCCCAGTTTTATTGTGATGTTAGTGTTTATAGCTCGGTGAAATGGGATTTTGTATATGCTCAGCTTTCAATGCTCACGTAGTCAGTTACATGCCTCAAAAATTGTAACTTTGCCTACAGGTAGTGGTCGAGAGGCAGGCCTCCTGCCCCGGGCTTTAGCGTCTCTGTTCAGGAAACTGCAGGGTCGTCTTTATGATGCCGTGGACCTGAAGCCTGTCATGTATCAGGATGTGAGGCAGCTTCAGCCCAGTGAGGTCAGGGCGGAGGAAATCCGCAGAAACTCGTTGCTCAAAGAGGTAAATGAAAAACACTTTTAAATGTCTTATGAAATATTTAAAAAAAATGCAGTTTCCTTGTAACATGTCCCAAAGTGTCTGTTGCTTTATACCAAATACATATTAATGCATTTTTGTGTACTTCTCTCTCATAGTCCTTGTTTTTTCTCTTACTGCCTAGTGTAATTTTCCAAAAGTCATCCTGAACTTGGAAATAGATATAAATTCCTTCCAATTCCAGTTGACTGAACTCCATCATATATGTGTTGGATAATTCAGTGCTCTATGGAAAAATATATATATATATATATAAAGAATTTGAGTATTTTCTTGCACATAGTTGATGTACTCGTGTGTTACAGGATGAGAACCTGAGCTCTCGTCGAGGTGGAACCACTACAGTCTGGGACAGCGGACTCTCCTCTATGAGTGATGTTGTCACCCAGCTGGAAGGTGAGGAGGGCCGTCTCAGGGGTTGTGTTGGGCATATGTCAAATTTATTATTCATTTAAATTGACCGATTCAGTTCTGAAATTTAATCCTGTAAGAAAATGGTGGGTTACTGACTGCAAATTAAGTTTCCTGTTTGTGACAAAAAAGGAGCTTAGAGTATTGACCAGTTAATTTTTTTTTTTAAACTTGCTGTCATTAGAAGATCTTTCTTAAGAAATATGAAATTAATTTCCAATTCATTCCTGAAGACACGGACAGTGTTTGTCTGGAGCCGGACAGCCTTTCACACAGCGGAGGGCACGACCTGGAGGAAGGGGTGCAGTTCTCTATCTGGGTGTCCTTTTATGAGATCTACAATGAGTTCCTGTATGATCTGCTGGATGCATCACCCTCCCTGCAGCCCAGGAAAAGGGTCACTCTGCGGCTTAGTGATGACAAGCAGGGTAACCCCTATGTGAAAGGTAGCACAATTTAAACTTTAATTACTACACTGTCAGTTTATGCAACTCTTATGATGTATACCGCACTTCAGTAAGTAGGAAATGTTAAAATCTGTAGACTGCTTCTTGCATTACCCCCCCCCTTCTTTCTGCACTTCACCTGCTCGTTTTTTAACAATATATTTTATTTACTTCAACGTGGATCAATTTTTAAAACCTGTTCAGTAGCATATAACACAGTTTTGTTGTTGCTGCTGCTCCTTTTTATGTTCCAAGCAAATCACACTTTGCCCCCTCCCCCATTTATATAATCAGACCTCACCTGGATCCAGGTCCGCAGTGCTGAAGAAGCTTGGAAGATCGTGAGGGCTGGACATCGTAACCAGAGCTTCGCCAGCACTCACTTCAACCAAAACTCCAGCCGCAGGTAGAAGCACATTACACTCGAGCCCTTCAGAACCTTATTTGGCCAGATTTGTTCGACTTGCATTTCTTGAATCTGATCATAATTTTATCACACACTTAGCCACAGTGTCTTCTCTGTCCGCATCCTGCACGTCCGCCCAGAGGCAGGTTCTGACCAGACCATACACACCAGCGAGTAGGTTATCCCACTGTTACCTGCTGTAAATTCCAGCTTTGGTTTACTTTGATTTTGGTATTTTGTGAGCTCATATAAAATAGGACTTTTTGTTTTGCGGTCTCTCTCTCTCTCTCTCTCTCCTTTTTGTTAGACTGACTGTGTGTGACCTGGCTGGGTCTGAACGCTGTAAAGATCAGCGTAACGGTGAGAGGATGAAAGAGGCCAACAACATCAACACCTCCCTCTTAACACTGGGGCGCTGTATTGCTGCTCTGAGGCACAACCAGAGTAACAGGTACATGTTAAACCATAATCTGAAATGACTTTTTAAAAGTTTGACGTCCTAGTAGAAACGTAGTCTGTCACAGAAACATGATCAACTCCTCTAGAGTAGTGTTGTCACGATACCAACATTTTGGTACCGGTACCGGTACCAAAATGTATTTCGATACTTTCGATACTTTCGATACTTTTGGATAGTTTTTCAGACAAAAAGAGAAGGCAAAAAATGTCATTACTGACTTTATTTTAATAGAAAATCTTAGAATAACATCAAAATAAAATTCAAAATACTAGGCTTTTCTTATTGCACTCAAAAAAAATTT